AAGCACTTCTTAGTACACAGTCACACGCGGACCGTTGAAAAGTCAAGATGCCAAAGAGTTCCGTGAAAAAATGCAGAAAAATACTAATAGTACGTAAAGTGTCGTTTTTTCGACGGGTATCTAATTAATGTTTTTTAATTAACGCCTTTAAAGCAAATTTTATTGTTGTAATACTTACTATAAACTGATTTAATTTAAAATATTTGTGATATTTAAATGCATGGTCGTTTATACGTCGCCCTTAGCCATCTCTTTTCTTCGCGGTCTGTACCTGCTATATTGCTAACAGCGCATTCAGAATTGCGCGTGAAAAGTAAAAAAAAATAAGGTCTATATTCTTTCACATATAACAATAAATCGTAAAATTTTACGAACTTGACGCATGCATTTTAATTAACACCTTATGCCGTATGCATTAAAGGTGACTTTCAATGTTTAAATAAGGCATTATATTTGTTTTTGACCACGCGATCATCTTACGGACCTCCGTGGATCGTCCAATGTATCTTTTGGACACGTTTCGGCCACGATTTTGTTCGTGTTGTTGTATCTAGGGTAGTTAATATCGTTGCATTAATACTTCTTGTCCTGGACGTGTTTTTTTTTGTGTTGCTTATATATAATTTAGTATGTAGTTACTAGTCGCGTCATGTAATTAGAACGCTGGAAGAAAGTGGAGAGGGTATGATTACGCATTTGCGCACCAAAGTATTAGGCCTCTATTCTAAATTGTTTATCGATAGAAAACATCGATATTTTCTAAAATCGATCTTACCCTCATCACTTCGCTGCACTGAGTATATGATCTGACCTTGACGCGTCCAATCACAGCGGGGCTGACCTCCCTGCACCCCACCGACTTTGGCGACTTTGATTCCAAACAAAATTTGTGTGATGCGGACTCTAGTGGGGGTGCTCCATGTGTCGCGCCCGATGCGCCGCCGCGCCGCCCGCCAATATTTCCTTACTCATCAAACACAAATCCACTTACTCGAGACCTAGCTCGAGACAAATCAAAAATGGCTATGCAATCCCATATGGTTCCATGTTACGTCACGGAAAGTTTCCGAGTAGTGAACTACTGCGTTCATACATGCGGGTTATTAGATTGGTACCTACATAAATAAATCCTTGACGTTTGTTCAATTATAATATTTCAAATATTGCATTCAGAATAGCGTTCAATAGAGCGATTTAAAAAACGATTTTCTTCATTCCAGTAAGTTTCAGAACCTACCAATAAATACAAGTGATCAACTATAAATAAAAATAAATATCCTGAGACAAATTCTTCTTATTTTTAAGCATAACTTATAACATAATAACATAATAAAAGCTTATAAAAAATAAACTAGACTAAACTTAAAATACCTACATAATCTACGCCAATTTCCCTGAAGGATATTCATTTATCGTAGCATGTGTAGATATACCATAGGTATACCTATACACTTACACCAGATACATCTCTTTACCGAATCATTTACCGTAGCAAGTATAGACCGTAAGTCCAGATACATCTCGTTTCCTCGGCACTCATCAATCTCTGCTTACCCGTCGGACTTTGAAACATTTAACACGACCCTTATTTTGGAACGTTACTGATTTAGTATTGGACTTCTCCAAGGACGACTGAACTCTACCTGCTCCAAACATTTAGCAAGTGCATTTTGCTCAATTTTATTTCGTAGCCTTAAATCTTATTTCATCTATTCCGCCCTAGCATTGCTGTCTTAATTTTAGTCACAAACACTATCTTATTTTTACTTTCTTCACTTTAAGCATTTGTATTTTTAGCCGACGCAAAAGTGGAGGAGGGCCTCCAATCGACGCGTAAGGTAAGTGATACAAATAAGGCCTACCTAATTCCAAACACTAATATCATGATATATTATTCAAAGAAGGTGATAAATAAAGGCAAGGCATTCTTTGTTTCATTTTTAATAATTAAGAAAACATATTATAATCTATTACAGAAATCCGAATTTTAAAAAGAGCTAATTCTGAAACCTTAGCCTTAGTCCTACAAACTTTAAAACATATTGACTTAAAAAACCATATGTACTTAAATTATAGGAATGTTGTTATTAGAGTATAAATTATATAAAAATATGTATTTCTGAGCCTTTAACCAAGTGTTTCCATGGGATCCTTGAACAACAACTTCATATTTTGCTTAAATTGCAAGTCACATTAGAAGTGTCATATTAATAAGAAATAAAGAATAATATATATACATTACCACACACACAAAAGTTTGTTGAAGGCATAACAACAAAAAATAGCAAATGAACTTCTTCTCAAAAATATTATTAAATATTGAAAACTGAATATATTTTGATAGGCCTTAATTAAACAAGGTAACTAAATAAGGTCTTATAACGTAATAAGTAGCATAATTTGCTTAGAAACATAAATCAGTCTTACGTGATAATAAGTACTATATAGTAGAGGTGTCTCTATAATCAGTTTTACTGACAATTAGGGCATACAAATGCATCTAGATCAAATTCAACAGAATTCCTATTAAGGTCTAGGATCAAAAATAAGGCCTATTGTAAAAGTAGGCTTTATTTAGTACGTTATAAGCAGTATTTAATTCGAATATTCTTAAAAATTTCAAATTCAAGTCATAGTTAACATTTTGATTAGCTGGATTGTGATCCGTAGTTATAATACATGAAACAAAACTTCAAAGAATAACGTATTAAAATTCGATTTAACGCGCTATTAAAACGCTCGTCCTTCACAAAGTACCGCCAATACTGACGCTATGAGCTCGAGCGGACCGCTCATGCACAGTTTGCCTAGTTATACAACTGTCGCCTATGCGTGTGTAAAGTATAAAACTAGTTTTTAATTTTCGTCAGAATAATTATTCTGACGATGCAGACCTGAAAAGGCTGCGAAACGTCAATAAATAAATAAAGTTTCGTGCATTAACCCGTAAAAACTAGTTTTATTTAATGAGTGATGTGCGTGAAAACCTAAGAAACAAAAATGTTTGATGTAAATATATTTTAATAGACTTTTCTGCACTACAGGCCTTATTTCAGCATAGGCCTAATTTGTATCAGGTACCTTATATTATTTTTTATCAATGACCACGCATAACTTTTTCTAGAGTAGTAGTTTGATAATTTCCCATATAAATTCACAAACAACAATCCATTTCCTACCCTAAGGGTAGGAAAATAGGTTTGAGCGTTCACTCACAGATTTCGATGCCAAATTGTATATTAAAAAAAATATAGTCACGGAAAAATAATAAAATATTTTAAACTTTTTAACAAAAAAATTAAACTGCCGAAAAATAAAAAATAATAAGTACATATTTTTTATCTTTAGTCAAATTAATATTTGGAGTCGGTGCCATGCATGTCTGATATCCCATTTCCATGTAGTACTTGGATTGGCATGGCACCGATTAAACATTTTAACAAAATTAAACCGCCGAAAAGTACAAAAATAATAATCCTTTTTTATCTTTAGTCAAATTGAAATTTGGAGTCGGTGCCGTGCATGTCTGATATCCCTCTAATTCGTTTGTCATACTAATTCATTGAGTTAAGACTAACAAGTCGCTCAAGCCATCGAGCATAACTTTATATCTCTCTAATTAGCTATAACTCTTCTTTTAAAATATTACCCCAAACTAACCCGACACGTGATTTAAGTCGAAACGATATACTTAAGTAGGTACAGTACAAGTATGATAATCATACGAGTATTCAATGTAGTTTAACAGGAATCGATGTAACGGCATCTCGTGCAACATATAGTTTATCTCAGCTGTCGTGTTCAGAGGCCCAAGATTGATGACGGCGGCTCCAAAGCTTGCCGACTTGAAGATAAGCTGTATATCGATATTGCGTGACTCACCAAGTTACGATTCACAGCCCTTCTGCGGGGCTGGAAATTTTACTGTCACGACTTTACTTACCTACAAATTTGCCTTACTTTTTCTGGATAAATTATAAAATAGAAAAAAAAAGTCAAAGTAAATGTTATGAAAAGTGTTTGTTGTTAGTTATGCCACTTTTTGAGAATAACCAGTGAGTAAAATAAACTATATTATTTCTCATTTTTTATAAATTCGCTTATTTATAGTTTTTAGTTTTCCATACCTAAAGGTGATAACAGAACGGAACCCTATTTCTAAGCTATCGTTCTCCGTCTGTCCGTCTGTGATCTGAAACAGTTGCAATTTTCTCAAAATGATTAAATACAAAAACGCAATTTATTCATTGTTATTCCCGAAATAAAATTTTGTAGTTATACTACGGAACTATTAATTTGCTAGTCTGACCCTTACTTTACCGTTTTTTATAACAACGATGTGTAAACAATGTATTTCTGTCATATTCCAATTAAAAGTAACCCGATATTAGAAGATTATAAACAAAAAATAGATAACTGGACAAAATGACAGCAGTACCATTAAAAGCGCACGCACCATTATGGTTTTATTGTTGAAGGCATAACAACGTTCATATAAATTCCATTACGTCCTTTATCTACTTTTTATTCATTAATTACTATGGTAACAGTACCGGAAAGTGAGTGTCGACTTCCAATATCGCCCTACAAATACTTTGATCCTGTCATATTCCTCAACAATGAATGGGATCTAAGATCAAGGTCAGCAATCTACTTGTTATGTATTGTCACGAAGCAAAAGAGGTACTGCAAATTAAAAATATATAAACTTTATGACGTATGCTTTCGAAAAAAACGGTAGGTACTTTGTTAATGCCTTTCGCTTCGACTTTTGGAATCACATATACCTAATCCTTTTTTACCGTCTTAATTCAGATTATTAAAGCGATCTGGCAATTGTTTTCGTGTTCACGTCTAAGAATGAACATAGGAATGTCGTATTCAGTGCAGAATTATATAGCAAATAACCCAATAAATTCGAAAAGGATAATTTGCTATCGACCCCGAGATCGGCGTCTTTGCCCAGCGTGCAACGGTGTGAGATGTGAAGGGCCGCTCACCTGAGCAGCCGAGGACGCGTTCCGTCTCTCCGCCCACTTGTGGCGGTGGCGAGTTCGGCAGAGCGTCGCTCACGGAACGTCCGCATATCTCGCACTGTCATGCCGTACCATCATAAAGCACCACAACACGAGTGAGCACGGCACGCGAGTCGCATAGTAAGATGCGGGGCGCGCCAGGCGCGAGGCGCTAGCTGGCGTTGAACGCGCCACTACTGACTGGCGTTCGCTCTCCGCTGCCAGATCGGGCGCGGCGGCAGCGCACGCACGCGCGCTCCGCCCGCTCCCGCACCCGCCCTTACTCCCATCTCGCTACTACCTACTTAGATAGATATTATCAATAAAATTATTGTACGACATGAACTCAACCGCTAGCCACACAGCTTGTCAAATGTTTCGTCTATCGACCGTGAAATCGACTTGTTCCACCCGGAAAAGTGGTTTTGATTAAGCAATAATAAAATAAGTGGCTTTGATCAAACATCGCTCAGTTACATGCGATTTGAGGAGGAATGCCTTGTAGGTGCCTAAGATACTTGTGAACGAATAAATGTTATTGATAATGTTTTTCATGTGTGGGTTCTTCTATATAATCTTGTGCATATAACGACATTTCTAGAAAACGGCGAAAATTGTAACTTGTCGAGGTTAGGGACTTATTTTTACTCCACTCATTTTGAATCCATTTAGCAGTTTAATAACTAAAGTGCGGGTTGATATCCAGAATTCTCTTTACATAAATAAAGTTTTTATTTACATGAACAGTTTTAAACGCATAAATTCATGAACAGGGATATGCTGAATTCTGCTATTGAATGTAAAACTGCGTGACGATTAACATCTGGCAGCGGTCCAGCGTTTAGCCGTGGGACCTAGCAACGCAGCCAGCTCGTCTCCGCAAGCTAACGAGTTTTCTCGACGGGGTTACAGCCCTCGGGAGGATAGCGACTCCACACCGAGCCATAAGACATCAAAAATGAACCGGGTCACGTGAAGAATGAGCGTTTCACCTTCTGCCGACTTGCCGTCACATAAAGTTTTAAGATATATGATACTAACCCAAACATATGTATAGTTCCTAGTCTTAAATATGGACTGTAGGTACACGACTTAAACTGCCAGAATTCTTAGACGACCACGTCTGGGGTGTAATTTTTTTGTCTACGAAGCATTTTTCTCAATGGGAAATAAAAACTAATTGCATGGATCTAAATCTGGGCAGTACGGAGTAAAGGTATGGCGTTTCCAAAAACCATATTTTATTTTTTTATTTTATTTATTTTTTTCCAGCACCGACACAAAGGATTAGGCTTTTGGGTTTTTTCTCGTAACCACACTAAGCTTGGGTATAAGGGCCACTACATCCTTAACTTCAGTTGGTCTATCTAAAACTTAAGCTTATAGAAATTATAGTAAACTAGCTGACCCAGCGAATTTCGTACCGCCATAAAAATAGGGGCTGGTGTATAAGGGTGCAAATTTAGGAAAGTATATACTTTTAATGCCACATTATAAAATAAAAGTAAATGTTAGGAGTGGACATCGAACCACCGATCATTTGATGACGACCCCAAGACCATTACCATTCGGCTATCTGTCTCTTATAGTAAATGATGAAATTACGGATACCTATCTTGTGTCAAATACTCTACTTCCGTTTCATCGAATCTCAAGTCACAACGATACTAAAGAAGTTTTCACTTCAAAAAAACTTATAATATTTCACTATTTTTTTTACTTATGTAAACTTCTTTAATTAGTCAAAAGAGTATTTTTTGTTAAACCTAGGATACTATTTGTAACATTGTACCTAACAAAATCTATTTTACCTGTTTATTAAGAAATAATCTATTCCGAATAACTTAAAAAGTTAATCTAATTACAATTGTCTAGAGAATTCTGCAGTTTATTTTTATTTTTACCTAATTCATTGTTATTTTATTTGATATTTCCGTTACAAGCATGACAAATCTTATTTATAAACTTATCACTTTGTTTACGTTCACCAAGTATACGATCCTGTCATCTTATTGTAATAGGTTTAATGTACGAGTCGGAACTGTCGAACGTTATCGACCTCACTACAGTATTAGTCCGAGAGCCTTTGTTAGGAAAGGTATAGGCCATCAGATAAGACTTAAAGTGGTAAATCGCACGTAATGCTCAAGAATAGTGCTGTGGCGGTGTGGAAATAAATGTGGCATCGCTGGGGCAGTCCAGCCTTGACCACATGCCACGAAGAGCTGACCCATGGTGATACCATCACACTATCGCAATATGAGACGACCTAAATTCTGTAAGACTGCCAACTCATTTACTTAGATAACGTAGAACAGTAATTAAACAGTTCTGAACTCAATCAGGCTTTGGACCACATTTCTGAATGGGGTACCAGGAACTTGGTTGAGTTCAATGTTAAAAAAAAACAGGTCTACGCTTTCACGGCAAAAACGTTGCCATTCCTTTCATGTCCTTCTCTTTAGGGCACAACACTGGAGCTAGAGAGCAGTATCACCATGCTCGGTATGGAAATTCGCTGTGACTTAAATCCAAAGAATTACATGTACGCCTGGAAAGCGTGGTAAAACTGCCTCACGCAAACTCGTCGTTTTTTCACACTCGAGCTGAGCTGAGCTCAACTGTGTTTATTGTATAAGACGCAGGTGCGGTCTTGCGTGGAATATTGCTCGCACCTCTGGGATGGCTCCGCCAAGTACTTGCTCCATGCTTTGGCTAGGTTACAGCGGCGCGCGATCTGCATCAGCGTCACTAAGCGCGTTCTATCGTCTGTAGCACGGTGAGTGTTCTGAGGAGTTATGCCCGTTTCCACCAACCAATCCCTAACGGATTCATAAGTAGGTGTCACTTACGTTAAGTAACTCCTAAATCGAGTACTTAATTAATTTCGTTTTCACCATACTAAGTGTTACCTAATAAGGTGGTTCTTAACTAAGAGACAGCTTTGTTTTTTTTAATGTTGTTACCATTGTCGATGTTTCATCGATAAAATAGATTTTCATCTGTATCTTTAAAATTAAACGCTTAGAAATAAAATAAGATGAAAAATATTATGAAATTATTATGTTACATATTTAAGCCTATAAGTATATCTTTATATATATAATTCTTCTGTGAGTGTGTATGTCACTGAACTTCTCTTAAACGACTGGACCGATTTTGATGAAATTTTTTGTGTGTGTTCAAGGGGATCTGAGAATGGTTTAGATTCAGCTGGGTCAGCTAGTATATATATATATAAATTATACTTAATTATGATTTTATGTAGCTTTAGTAGTCTGTGCACGATTTTACTTTTGCTAAATAATTAAAATTTGAAAATGACTGATTTTTTTTAATTACACGCATATAATAAATAAATAATTACACTATCTTTCATGCTTATGAAACCTACCTATATGGTATTTGTTGTAAGGGTGGGTAGATACTTACCTGTTATCGTTATACTCTAGGAGGTGCTCTATTTTATCTAATAAATATAAAACACTTTCTTTAGATAACCTATATCGAGCGAAGAAATCGATGTCGTCATATTTTTCAAAGTCCTTTGATCTTTCACGGTAAATTCATGGTTTTTTGGCAATCTTTGACTTGAAATCATTTCCACAGTGTCGAACGCAGCTAGACTCTCAAAAAACTGACCTAAATAACTGTTCATTTAAGAAAAATACACGTACTTTTAATAATAAATTATCACACCAATGCTAAATAACGTTAGGTAGCCGATAGGGAGCGCAAAATCGGAGCCTTAAATATTAAGATTTCCTTAAGCTTTAAGGTGATACTTAAGGGTTGGTGCAGTGGCGGCGCTAGGCGTCGGCGACGTCGGCCTCCGCCGACGGGCTCGCGCCTGAGGGGCCTCGCAAATATTTTTTACAAGTTACCTATTTATTTTTGTTTCTCCTGGCCTGGCTAGGCTAGGAAGCCGACCCCGAACAATTCGGGGAAAAAGCTAAGCAGATGATAATGAATTATTTTCGAACACGTGCGTGATGGAAGCAATTAGTACTTTACGGGTATTCAGAATCGTCTGTCAGGTAACACTATTTTTGTAATTAAATTTCTATGTTTGTAATTATTTGATTATCAACAATAAAACTCGTTTACTCATACGTTATTTTATAATTTGGCTCACTTAATTTAACGGTTTTTTACTGCGAATTAAAATAGGCCTCGCGAACTTGATGTCGCCGACGTCCACATGTGGTGTAGCGCCGCCACTGGGTTGGTGAAAACGAATTTGTTTATAAGAGTTCCCTAAATACCGCTTAAGCGTGCCTTAAACCTAAGAGAATCTTGGTGAAAACGGGCATTAGTCTCTCTTATTCCCCCTTCCCCTTTCCTTCAGAAAACCATGCGCGCTGGTCTACGTTGTCATCGTCTAACTGTGGCCACAATTCCAACGCGTACAAAGTACAAAGAAATTTGGTGATCATTTCTTTGTCGCACTATCCGTAAATGGAATGCTCTGCCTACTTACGTGTTCCTCCTTCTTACAACCTTTAAAAGAGGCATAAAGAAGCAACATGCAGGCCGGCAAGGTGAGGATATCTGGTGGGGCAGGTAGAACCGCTGTACCACCTATCTTCACCTCTGGACTTCACCGTCACTGCTGTACAAGCTATCTTCACGTCTGGACTTCAACATCAGGTGGGGTGGAGTCATTTGCCGGACCTACCTATATACATAAAAAAAGAAAGTTGATTGATACCAGTCCTTATCCACTATCGGAAATTGTTTTGAAATCGTCAACCTATAATTTTTTCTTCTGCTGGAGCACAGACTATCCGTATAGGTAAACGGAATAGGGAGAATGTGATAGTATTTACAGTAACAAATTTTATATTTTCACAGAATGCGTTCTGTGATAATATCAAGTATTTACAGTTTCCTTTTCAAGATATTACATAGTCCTGCGACAGACAGGAATCACGAAAATATTAATAGAGGTTCTGCTTTTTTCACCCTTTGTTGGGAGAACCATAAAAAAAATTGAAGCATCCTATAATTTAGATCCAAACTAAGCAGCCTGTATTGAGGAAAGTAAATATTTTAGCGTAGAATTCTACATAGTTATACACGTTACTTACATCATTCTCTCTATTATTCTCTCTTAGCAAGAAAATGAGACTAATTAAATATTGAAAATTCTCTGTAATTAACCCGGGAAATTTCTGTGTTTAAAATATTCCCCAATAAATTTAGTATGATTCCGTAAATATTAAAGTAATTTAGGTAGGTGTGAAGATGACAATCCATATTAATACTCCCCGACAAGGAAAAATGCAGGAGAAAATATCTCTAGTTTATAATACCTAAATTCCTACGCGATTTTCATCATTTAGATTATTTATCACCTTCAAATAATTCCTCCTTCATTGGGTTTTTTTCGTTAACTTGTACATTTAAGTAAGACTTTCATCTGTTTTCGAACAGCAAGTAATCGCTTGCTTACTTGTACAGTCACACAAGCAATTGCCCTTTTACTAAGCAATTATTTTGCAGACCGTTGCAAAATTGTTATGATAATATTTTCATGATATATCTGAAAACATGTTGTACGTTTTCAGATATAATAGTGTTAACAAGCAAACCCGAAATTGATTTTAATTATGTACCTAGGTTGTAATATAAAGTTTGATCTAGGCCGCCTAGGTTGTAAATGTGAAATCGATCTTTCTGACAAGCGACTCCACGTTTACACACCTTTAACGAGTTTACATTACCTTCGTTTCGCTAAAAGAACATTTTGCAGTTGCTTGTGCCTGTTTAATCTACGATTATTGATTTTGTTTACGTGGATCATGCTACGCTACATTAATCGCTCTGCAATGCTTTTGATTGCGCTTTAGAAGGCCTAATTTAGCGTTTACTTCCACATTCTAACTTGAAAAAATGTACTTTTATTAGGCTTCCGTAGTTTAATGTATATAGGGTAAAAAACAAGCAAAAGGTTTGGCCTATTAACTATTTAAGTTGATACGTGATTTTGAGAAAAGACTTATTTTTTATTCTATTTATAAGTATATATACTGCTGCCAAAAACTCGGTATGTACAATAAGTAAGTAAATATTAATAACCATATGAATTGCTAGCCTGATATTTATTTGAGGTTAACTGCCACAACAGCCTATATAGACCCTGACCACATCTCCTAAACAGTGGGGCCATAAGTGCTTATTTTTTAACTAATCTCTAATGTAGTTTGTTAGGCACCAATATCGTTCTAGTTTTAAAAGCCTCATTAAAAAAAGTAAATCCTTAAACCTATTTAATTAGCTGAAGGATTGCGCAATGTGCCCCCAGTACTGCTGGCATCTTGTGCGGAAAGTCTTTCGGCTCCTATCACCATGTTGTTTAATAGATCGCTTAAAGAGTGTGTTTTCCCTGATGTTTGGAAGCAGGCCAGAATCGTGCCAGTCCATAAGAAGGGGTCTAAGTCACTCATAGAGAACTATCGGCCAATTTCGATCCTCAACACGGTAAGTAAATTATTCGAGAATGTAGTTCTTCAGCAAATTTACTCCACCATTGCTAAAGGTATTCCGCAGAATCAACATGGATTTTTGAGACGCCGCTCTACTGTATCGAAACTAACAGTGTTTTCAAATTATGTTCTTAATGGAATGGAGAAGGGTGGACAAGTTGACGTAATTTACACGGACTTTGAAAAAGCGTTTGACCGCGTAGACCACGGTATCCTCATCCATAAACTTCAATGCCTCGGTATTCATGGTGATTTATTACGCTGGGTCCAATCATACTTAACTAAAAGGTCTCAGATGGTCGTTCTTGGTGGATACAGATCTGACTTTGTCACTGTCCTTTCTGGAGTTCCACAGGGCTCGCATCTCGGTCCTCTGTTTTATAATGCGTATATCCACGACATAGATAAGGTAATCAAGAACTCAAACCATTTTTTGTATGCTGACGATAAAAAGATATTAATGAGTGTGCGCGATGTTGCTGATTGCCAAAAGTTGCAGGACGATCTAAAGAATCTTTTCTATTATTATAACGAAAATAATATAAAAATAAGTATTAGTAAATGTCAATGCATAAGTTTTACCCGTAAACCTAATCCTATAGTATTTCCTTACAATTTCAATAATGTAACGATTGTGAGATCTGATGTGGTCCGTGATCTAGGAGTGTACTTTGACAGTAAAATGGTAATGTCTACACATATAGACACTATTATGGGGAGGGCCTATCGCAAACTTGGTTTTGTTATGCGTACATGTCGTCCTTTTAATAGTCCCTTAAGTCTAAAAATAGTCTATTATGCATACGTGCGTAGTCTCTTAGAATATGCGGCCCCAATATGGGGCCCGTGTTACAATATTTACATTAATCGTA